AAACACACTGTTGTTCGGGCAATATGCAAGAAAACCGTCAAAACCTCCTGAACAGCCCGAACAATTCTATTATACGACCAATCATGTTTCAGCAGAGTTCTTTTCTTCTACTTTGAGGACAAAATAAAGTACTGCTCCGCTTGACGATAGTTTTTGTACCCTTTTGCATATGACCGGGACAACAATACGTTTTGTCCTTACAATAGATAAGAAACGGCTTTTATGCATCTGATTGCTCGATAGTGAGAGTGCGCAGCTGAGACTCATGAGCGTTCACGAAGTTGAACTCTACAGCCATAATCAACATAAACGAAAACGGATGAAATCAAAAAGACGACTCCCGTATCAAAAGTAAAGAAGAAACTCTCACGTGAGCGCAAGCGTGAGCTGTACATTTCTATACAAAACCGATTCACTGATTTCAAAAACTATTTCTATGGAATAACACGCATTTGAATAACTCTATTCCCTAAATATCCATAGAAATGATTCCAAAAATATGTTATGAACAAAACTTAACGTACACTCTAGACTGCAACGCGATTCTGAATAATCCTTAATGGGATGTTGTGAAAGTGGACTTCTCACTATTTCTAAAAACCTTCAGCAGTCTTGTAAGACTACAATGGAATGCACAACATTTAAAACACAGCTTGCGCGGTGTGTGTTTTCCAAGGTCTATAAAAAGCAATTTGGATTGGATAAATTCCTATGGTTTAATCAACAGACCTCTCCTGTAGCTACGCAAATTGAAGCTTGTTCAGGGATAAATGAGGACGTCGAAAGTCGAGTTGTAAGAATGCGACTCCACATAGAAAATGGTTACAAGGTCTTGTGCACATAAGAGGTTGAGAACCCGTTTCCTTCCTACACGTTATGGACTCCAGTAGCTACTTGAATACCATAAGTTAAAAATCTGAGACTTCAACTTCTCGAACATAGCTAAAGTTGTAATTAGCTGAATATATATGAATCGAAACCAAAACCGTCACAAGTTTCAGAAGTATTGTATTAACATACGCCCATCACTTTATCTACTCTGTTCGTAGCATTTACATTTTACTGAATCCACGACATTCAAAAAAAAGACATCTCTTTTAACTTCAATCAATCTCTGTTTTGTCAACTATTTTCTTTTCTCAATTACTATAGATCAGAATTGCTCAACTTTCATACGTAAAGATGATTGGGATATACCAGACAATGATATATTATCTACTCCTGTGCATGCACCTGATTATGCTAGCTGTTGCTCACAATGTCAAGCAACTTATCGATGTTTTGCTTTTACATATTCGCTATCAAGTCAACAATGTTCACTGAAAGCAAGTACAGGTAGTGGTAGAAACTCAACTGGCGACAGAATTACTGGATATAACCGTAAGTGTATCAATTCTATGTTTCGAAGTGCCGCACAGTGAGGAGAGAACCTCATGAAACGAGACTTGCTCTTTGAAGTCTACTTGATGATATGAAAATCATTTGAGAAAAAACTGAAGTGTGAGCAAGTTTATTGTGATATATATTTTGACGATAAGTGAGCATATGGAATGTGAAAAAATTTCTCTACGTTAATGCAAAATATTCTCCGTGACTAAAACGAAGAGTCTAAAAGATGAATATCTGTGTGTTTGTCATATTTCTAGTATTTCTTTAAGAATGTATTTCTTCTTACATATAATCAACATGAAGAACTCTCACCGACAGGCCACACTGAACTAGAAGTGCCTTACAGAACTTACGAGGTCTCATTTCACTATATCATAGCTAGTAAGCTATTGTGGAAAGTTAAACAAGTTTTTAAAGCTTTTGTAATCTATGAAGTTTCATGTGAAAATAATAAAGATTCTCTAAGTGAAAAAGATTTTGTAGTATAATCAGGGAAGGTATCGGAGTAGAGAGGTTCCTCACCGGACTTAGTTTTTTCTTGTCTCTATTATGATTAATACGGTTGATGTTGACGAGTATACAAGTCAGATGATCTGATGTTGCTCTTGTTTTTAGCTAGTTACGTTCACTCTAAAATTGATTTTAAATATTGAATTATTATTTTCTGATTGACGACTTTCTTAGACGAAGTTTGTGACTTAGTAAAAAGCAATCGCTTCACTTTATGCGAAAATCATAATCATAACTCTCTATGCGCGTAGTCCTTGAAAACTTTTACACTTTGTAGAATGAAACATAATATTCGAGAAGAAGATTATTGAACATAAATGAACTAACATCAACCTCAAGTAGCTTTACTTAATAAGTGATATAATTTAAAACAGTGACTGATATCATTGGATTCGATAATATCAAGGCTTAGTGAATCTTTGAGCTGTTTGTGCGATCCTCCTCACATGACTGATTTTGGGTCATATACATTGAATTTTCATGATGTATGCTTAGGATATTCTGATGAAATTTTACTAAAAAACTTTTGACTGTCTATCATAAGCTTTTCAGAAGATATGTGTCAAGTGAAGCTTAAGAGTGGCTCATTTAACCTTTGCAAGTTATTACTTGCTCTTCATTCTACCTACTGCAGTTTTCTGTTCGACAGAGCCTGTACGAATGTAAGGTGTAGACGAGGAGGCGAGTGTGGTAGTGGGTGTGAGAGAAGAAAAGAGGGATCAACAGTTATACCCACATCCACACCAAACTTATCCACGATTTGAAGCCCATATTCTATAGTTTCTTCTATTGTAAAGTTCATCAATATGAAATCGTTTCTCATCACAAAACAGGAGTTTTCTAGATGATGATTTTCTTGTGTTCCTTCTTGGTCAAATTTCAAATGAAAATCTCTAAGTTTAGTAATGGCATGTTTGATGCATGATTTGTATCCTAGACCATCTTTAACTAAACGTCGCATTGTTCTTCTTGGCATTTTCGTTTTGGCTGAAAGAGGAATAACTCTTAATTGTTTCATTAATCCTTCTGTTCGTTTTCACACTTTTCGACTTGAAGGACTTTTCAAATCAACATCGTTAGATTTCTCGGACATTTTAACCCAACCATTAACTGTTATTTGGAAAACTTTACCACCGAGATTTTTTACAATTTTTCGACTAGTTAAATCAACATCTTGTAGTTACAGTGCAATTTTTCGGTCATCTTCACTTTGTATAACTTTTGAAATAATGTATATATATCTGAAACATGTATAGTTTTAAAAAGCAGAAGATTCGCTATCGAACGCGTCGAGAATGGGGTCTCTAGCATGATGGCAGTGTCCTGAACAGAGAAAATATTTTTGTCTGGTTATTGTGCACCACGAATTACAATACGTAGAAGCGAGAACCATGAGTCATTTTCAGAGACAAAACGAGCTTCACTTGAATTTTACCTGATGCTTATCTGCTAAAATTTTCTTAACATGAAGCTAAACAATATTCCTAAGAGTTGTCCATAGCAGCCTTAACATATCCTACAGAGTTGGTTCGATTTGAATAGTCATTGTGCAATCGAATAAGTAGAGAAGGGCGCGTTCATATTTAGCGCAAATTGTTTCTATTAACACGCTGATTACTTTGCGTTAAGAGTATCAGTAAGCGGTTGTGATGAGCGTTATATTGTATTACTTTATATTTTGTTAGGTTGAAGAATGTCTGATTTCTACAAAATAACTATGTTCTGATAAAATTTGACCGAACATTGTGAAGACTGCAGAGATCCAATTTGCTATCTGAATTTCAAAACTCGGAGTTATGTTTTGAGAGATATATACTGCCACTACATTAAAAACTTCGATCTTCAACAGATGGACCTTTTCTGAACGAGAAAACTTCAGTGAAACAGTATTACCTTAACGCAAATCTGTTCATTGTCGCTGCCAGTAATGGTTCAGCAGAATAAAGACAACCTAACTTTTGTTTCAACCAATGAGTGACCTATTCGCCATTCATATTATTGAACAGCGTGATGCCAGTGATATAGGTTGTAAGTCCAACAATAACTGAGTAATCCATCGTTGCTTAACCTTAGAGATTCTATGAACGATGTCTCTCTTGCAAAATAGTCTCGTTATTTTCAACTTCGACAAGCTATCGATATGGGTACCTATGCATCAACTAATGCGAATAAACTACGAGGATAGGTTCAGAGAAAAACTATAGAAAAATGGTTGCTATAACGAGTTTGAAAAACGTTTAGGATTACCATATGGGGTTCAGATACAGATCAAGAAGTGAGTGTTAAAGGTTAGGTATAGCTTAGGAGGATAAGTTCAGACGTTATAATGGGTAGTCCATCAATCTAGATGGTCATAATGATATAGAAATAGAATCAATCTTGTAGTGTTGGAACTGGTACAAAATTTCGATTACGACACCTTTTATGAACCGAGGTAACTATGGTTTTATGCTGAGCCCGATTTCTAAGAATCTTTGAAGAGGTTCCTAATTCCTTACTGAAGTCTGAATCATTCCTAAGCATTCCACGGTACCTGATTTTCACAGTGATGGAGAACGAAAAACTGCTTTACATGTTCATTGCTCTTTTTCTCTCCTTCTTTCTAGAAACGTTATGCGAGAAAACCGATTGCGTACTTTTCATTCTTTTTTGCAACAAAATATGGGTGACCTCGAAGATGAAATATTTCTCTTTCTGAATTATGAAATAAAGCGAAACTGGCTAGAGAGGAGGAACAAAACGAGAGAACAAAAAAAGAGAAAAACAAAGTAGGAAATGAAAATATTCTGGTTGAATTTGCACCTGCCTCTCACATTAAGTAAGGCCTTCTTCCTCAAGTTTTACCATAGAACAACAGAAACTTCAATGCTACTTAACTTCAAGTAGTTAGAATACAACGCACTAAGTAGGCGCAAAGGATCTAAGCTCTCACTTTCTTGTCACTCACGAAGGTTTACTAGTATCACAGAGACGACAGAATATAGAAGATAAAAGCACACATTTGAGCAAGAACATAATGAATATGGTTACTCTTTCCAATCTTTCATCATCATAAAAAGTGCTGTTAACATTATTCTTTTATTTGTCTTCTCACAGCGAATATGTGTCATGGCTTCATGCGTAAAGATAACTGGGATATACCTGGAAATGACACATTACCTTCTCCCGTAAAACAACCTGATTATGCCAGCTGTTGCTCACAATGTCAATCAACTTCTGGATGCATTGTTTTTACGTATTCGCCATCAAGTCAAGGGTGTTGGCTGAACACAAGTATGGGTAGTGGTGGAAACTCAACTGGCGATAACATTATTGGTTACTATTGTAAGTGAATTAATTTACGTTTAGCTTTTGACATATTGGTTATGTGGAAAAAGAGGTATTAGTGGTAGGGTTGCGTGTGCGATCGAGGGTGTGAATGTAGTTGTATGGTATGGGCATGGTTATAAGAGTGGATGCGTAGTGTGGGATGCCAATGAGAGTATAGGTAGATTTGTGGTTTAGAGGTCGGAGAGACGTGTGGATGTATTTTGAACAGGAAAAACATCCACATTCACCTCAATAATATATCAGAGCACGTTATGTAAGATAAAATTGATTATAATAAACGACACATAGTACAATGTTAGATGTTAGATTGAACAATTTGTAGGTTCTAAAGATGCTGCATGAATTCAACATAAATTTGGAAAAAATCATGAACTATAACAATGATTCGCACAAAAATAATTAAAGTTAATTAAAGTTAACTTTATAACTTTTTTAGATATTTTTTACCATAAATGTATGAAACATCATTTTAAACCATGTAGACCAGACTCGTTTTAAAGTTAGATCGATACTCGGTCATAAAGAACACTAATTATTTAGTATGATTTTTGAATGACTTTTTTTACATGGCTAAAAGACCTATTTGTAAAAATAAATTCATTTTAAAATTATTTCTCCAAGTATGAAAAAGACACATTCAATGGCTACAACCTTACACCACTAACCTAAATATTTTAAGGAATAAGTTCAATTGCTCTACTTTTTGTGGTTACATCACTAGTATTAGTCTTTTAAAGTTGTAGGGTTTTCATCGAATATTACTGATAGGATCTATATTTCATTTTTCTATTCATTATTTAAAGCATAGTAGAATTCCTATTGTTTTATCTTTCGGGTCAACAAATATTCGAAAGCAATGAATAGCAAGCTAACTATAAAATCAGACATGATTAATAAATTTAAATTGTATAGTTACATGCAAAAAGTTCAAACCCGTCTTCGATTTTGCTTTGTCTCATTTTGTGATCAAATCTCTACCCGTCCCGAAAAACTTGATCGAACAGAAGATGAAAAACTGAGTTCTCATCATAGGAAGATGCGTCAACATCTCTTCTTCAAGAACATATTCGATCGGACTACTTTTCTCTTACCTAGTAGACCGATCATAATACATGTATTAAAGAAGTTTTAAGCCCTACTGTCATGTTGTTGCTGAGAAATTATCACAAAAACGGCTGTAAAAGTCTAGCAAAGTTGTACTTTTCCTAAATAAATTAACGAGTTCTATTGAACTTATTAAATTAAAACTTTAGAAAAAATTACTGTTAAAAGTTTCAAGTTAACATTAACTTATAAGTAAAGAATATGAAAGTTATATCATCGTAATAAAAGCGAAATATAAAGGCACCAGTTGAGGAGATATCAGAGCACTCTACATGAAGTTCCATGATTTTATTCACTAGGGTACACACCTGCAAAGTAATGTTGTTTCAACTCTGCTTTCATCATAGTTGTTTTTCGTCATTCGATGCAGATGTCTATCTATGCCATGCTCCGAGAATTTTCTCTAGAAAGTTTGTAAATAAGTAGATTTCAATGGTTCTTTTTTCGTGCAAATTTTGAATCGAAAACTGATTTCTAAACTAATCTAGTCTTTTTCTAATTTGTCGGTATAACATGCTATTTCAAGCATTAATTACTTCGATTTTAAAAAATTCCACAAGAATATTGTATATCACCTAGTATTACACATTTGTAAATGTAAGGAAATATATTTTTTTTATTCGGGGAAAAAGTGAATATCTTTGAATCTTTGAAAATGTATACTTTCAGCATTAGTTGCCATACTGTTCTTTCTAGTTTTTTGTTTTCTGTCTTATATCATAAAATCAACAACGGTACACTTTGTTGTCTAGTTCCGAATCCACTCTATCAAAGAAATATTTTGTAAACTGTCAAAAACGATCTTTCTATTTTTTTGCTGAAAGAACAAAATTTCTGACATTTCCTTCCCATTGAAGTATTCTCGAAAAATTAAATTGAATTAAAATTGTTGTGGTAGAGTCATAAAAGGACCTTATTTACAATGTTTGTGAGCCTCCTACGCAATATCAGTAAAGAGAGCATGGGGCTATAACTAAGTTTTCAAGATGAATCAGATGCACTACTTTATTTTCTCATAAAAAAACGTTGTGTCTTAATGTAAGTTGAACATAGTGCTGTTACGAACACCTAATTTTAGATAGTATGTTCAACTTATATAATTCGATTCGTAATTGGAATACTACAACAGACAGATTGAGACAGTATTGAATTGAAACATGATTCGGCCATTTCGATTTACTTATCCGGTTACAAGCCCCTCTTGAAATCTCTAACTTTTTTTCAATGTTTCTGCGTATCATCAACTGAGTATTATAGTAACACGTACATACCTATTGAGGAAACGTATTGTCTAACTCACATACATATTTTTGAAGAAAATAGTAACAAGGGAACTACATTAACAAGCTTTTTCAATGACTCAATTGCTCTTGCGTTCGAAGTCTGTTCAATAATAAAGACTTCATTACGATATGAAAATTTTGAAAATGATAAATTGTTGCAAATTTATTTTGTATAGATTTTTGAAAATTTTACTGCAATTTTAGTCTATAATATTGTGTATATGCCTAAAAACTGAATGACAGTATCTCGAGTTGAGAGTATGTCTATAGACAGATTATATATTTCTGAGTAAAATGTTCTTGAAAGCTTCCTTCCTGAGATATTGAAGTCCACAAAAACTGAAAGTTCTGGCATCTTTTCTGGGACATGAATGACTTTTGTGAACTTTAATATTTTGGAAAGAAAAACACTGCTTCAACTAAAATTGTCATGATATTTTACACTTAAATAAACTAGTCTATGGACATTATTTCGACTTGAAATATAATAATTCTGTTTGTTAGTATACATATATTTATATATGTACCGATTATCACGATGCCTGTGCTATAAAGAAAACGAAAAAGAAACAAAATAAATGATCTTTTTGAGAGCGCTGGCCACTACTATCAAAAAAGAAAATCTATACAAGTCAAAACTTGGAACGATGTTGGTTTTGCAAAAATTCTACTGTACTTTTCACTTTTTCTCTCTATAGTTCCTTTCTCTTTTCTTTTGACTCTTATTGTATCCTATTCTTTCTTTCTATTTTAGTCCATCCACTACGTGAAAGTTCCATCGACATTCATCCAAATACTCGATGGCAAGAGAATGGTCTCACTGTGGCTGGAGGCAATGGACCAGGTAGTTTACTCAATCAATTGCTTTATCCATGGGGTTTGTATGTTGACGATGATGAAACAATCTATGTCGCTGATTATACGAACCATCGTATTATGAAATGGGAACGGAATGCAACGAGTGGCCAAGTGGTTGCTGGTGGAAATGGACAAGGGAACGGAACTCGTCAATTGAATTACCCATATGATGTAATTGTCGACAAGGAGAGAGATCGTCTCATCATCTGTGATTCTTTGAATAGAAGAGTGGTTGGCTGGCCTCGTCTAAATGGAAAAAGTGGAGAAACAATTATCTCTGACATCGATTGTTGGGGTTTGACAATGGACGAGCATGGATCTCTCTATGTCGTTGACCATGAAAGACATGAAGTAAGACTATATAAAATTGGTGACACTAAAGGAACAGTGGTTGCAGGTAGAAATAGAGATATATATCTTCTCAATCACCTCTCTGAACCCCGCTACGTATTTGTCGATCAAGATTATTCAGTATACGTGTCTGAGTGGGGAAATAATCGTGTAACGAAATGGGTGGAAGGGAAAGAGTCAGGCATTGCCGTAGCTGGTGATGTAGGATCCGGAAATGGTCTTAGACAATTGTCAGCTCCTAAAGGAGTCGTTGTTGATCAATCTGACACTGTCTATGTAGCTGATGATGAGAACGATCGAATCATGCGTTGGCCTAAAGGAGCCACAGAGGGAAGTGTCATTATTGGCGGAAAAAGTAGGGGAGGAGAATCCAACCAACTTAATGGACCCATCGGTTTGTCATTCGATCGATACGGAAATCTCTATGTCGTCGATAGTGGCAATCATCGAGTACAAAAATTTAAAATCGAGTGAACTCGGAACGATTATTGATATTATTTTTTTGTTCTATTTCTTTTACAAATAAATCGCTATTCAATAAAAAAGAATTAATGACTAATCTATTCATATACGCTCATAATCAGGGTGTGCATCAAGGGGGAAAGGGCGGACTTTTGTACTTCAAGTACTTTAAACTACTTTAAAGTACTTCGAGGTAATTTAAAGTACTTTTAGCAGATTTTGAGCTACTTCATACGAACTTTCAAGTACTTTAAGCTACTTTAGGCTACTTTAAGCTACTTTAAGCTACTTTAAGCTACTTTGAGCTACTTCAAGTACTTTCAATACTTCTATATACTAAATTATTTAAAATTTCTCAATATGACTGTAAGTACATAATGTGGATAATAGTTAAAGGTTATTTTGTTTTTGGCAAACAATAATATAATATAAACCACTACATTTTGAAAAAAAAATGTGATTCGAAGAATTAATTTGTTAATAGAAAGATATTAAATAGTTAGTTTGCAGTATATTTTATGGATAATAATTATAAAAAGACAATTATATTGAATATGAAAATACGATATTTTCTGCTATTTTATTCAAGAAATAGATTAAATAAAAAATCAAAATTCAATAATATGAAGGATTATAAATAATCGATATCGACATGTCGACATCAACATATTTTCTACATGTATTTGCGGCTTCATATTGATTAGACAAGATATTGCTTTTGTTTTATATTGAATATATTAATCTGTCTATGATCTTGCTGTCATTATGTTACATAAGATGTATTTTTGTCAAGAATATTTTTTAAATGCGATCGCAAACGTTCAT